TCCACGGGGCACTAAAGCATTTCAAATTTCGGACTTGCAGGCAATTGTAGAGAATTTCTACCGTGAAATACAGATAGATTCAAACTCTACAATTGCCTCCAAAGGCGGACATTACGAAAGGGATTTGCTGGCGAGTCTCCGTATTCCGGCCGTAAATTTGGAATGCTTTAATTGTCCCAAAGCTGAAAAACTATTTGATCAATTGATCCATCCTCGTCCCCAGGCCCAAGCTCGGGCGGCCCTCACAGTGGCCCTGGTTCAGGCTGTTGAGCTGCGTCGGAATTCCGACGCAGAGGCTTGGTCGCACAGCATATGCCTTTCTCCCTAAAAACATGGCGACCGCAATGAATGCAACTGTACGAGGAAGGCAGAAGCAATATATTTTGCACTTGCAAAAACAAATAATACTCAAATTAAGTTAAAGGAAGAGCAGAAAGAAGATATTCGTCAAATAGTAAATGGAAGGGATGTTAAATCGTTGATATACCAACTTTTACCGTCCATGTTCGACTACATTAATTTGAGAAAAAGAAATATTTCTGCCGTGTTGCCAGAAACAATTGTAATCGTGATTTCCCCATTAAATGCACTGGTGGGCGACCAAATAGACAAGCTAAAAACTGACATGGGTGTTAAGGCAGTTGTTTTACGCCATGATGTCATGATGATCATGATCAAGAAATGAAAGGTGGGTACTATTAAAAATACTTCATTTTGCTATTTTTGTATATAATACATAATATGTATAGACGGTAAATAGACCCCTTGCCTAAAAACCAACTGGTTGGAAAGTTTATTGAAAATAAAATTAGCATTAAGCAATCACTATTAAGTGTACTTGCCATGTTAGGGTCTTGGGGAAATGTTTCCCTTATTTTTCTGTTAGCAGCTGTATCAAAATGTATGCATTATTAAATAAATTTATTTGTCTTTTTATAGCTTACAGTATGTATCAACAAAGTATGGATGTAAGGCCTCAGAGGTTCGCCAACACATGAGGACCAAAACAACACTGTAAAGTGTTGCAAAGTGCAGAAAGGCAAACAAGAACAATAGTCAAAAACAGAAACACCAGGCTAGTTATTAAAAATATTATTGCCCAGCAAATAATTTGCAAAAGGGGCATATTCAAAAAACATTTAGTATATAAAAATATTTATTGAGTAATGTTACAAGTGACTTGTTGCTTGTTTTTAACTAAAGTAGTCAATAACTTATTTGAGGACTATGTTTTGCTCAAGGCAAATTTTAACCCATTGAGCCACAATGCACCCAGGGCCATATGCAGGATTTTTTCACCAGAGGGGCAGTAAGGCCTATATGCCGAAAAAAGTCCCAAATATCCAAAGAATAATTAACAATGACATTCTAAAAATCGTAAATATAGTTTTCTCTGGGGGGGGGCAGTTGCCCCCACCCCCCGGTTGTGTACGTCCCTGAGTGTGCCCTACTTATTTTTTTTACTTGTCTAACACCAGACGGTTTAACTCGTCAATAGGGATAGCCCACAAAGCTCTGCAGCTTAATGGGTTGATAAAAAACTGCCAATGTCTGTAGTTAACCCATTGAGCCGCAATGTGCCCTAGTGCGCCCTTTTTATTTTTTACTTGTCTAGCGCCAGAAGATTTTACTCGTCAATGGGGAAGCTCTGCAGCTTAATGGGTTAATGTAATTAACTTTACATGTCAATTATGGTCATTACCTATGGTTTAATAACAAAGGTCAATAAATATGGTGCTTGTGTACATATAATTGATTGCAATGGTTTTCTTTAGGTTATGTTTTTATTTTGACTTGTTATTAAACCATAGGTGAAAACTATAATTGATCTGTAATGTTTAGTATAACCAATTTCTCGTATAAATATTTATATTAATTTGTAATATATGTATTTTTTAATATTTATATATATATATATATATTTTTTTGCATTAAAAAATTAAGAGTGATGAACAACATTGTGTGTCATTTACTATTCTTATAGGAAATTAGGATAAATTTCGTATAGGAATTCCTATAAGATGATATGTCATACTGCAAAACCTGAACAGTCAAAGTGATGTACTTTCCAGAAGGGTGTATTTATTAATAAAATGTTTCAGTGACAGTGTTAAATTAAACAAACTTTAGCAACAGGTAGCTAAAATGCTTCTTATGGTGAAATAAGCTTAGACTTGACACATAACTGGTTAAATTACTTAAATATACAATACAATACAATAACATTTATTTAACGTGATCAAATACACTTAGCTACAGAAAAAGCTAATTTACAGGTATTGCCACGATGAAATATCAATCATAAATTGTTACTGATTGTATTCTAGTTTGGATAAATTTATTCAATAGTTTGGATAAATAATTTAATTCCATCTACAAAATCCCTTCAACATTTTGTGTGTGAAAAGCCAGCTTTTCACCTTGGGTATTAAACAGTCGAGCTTGGGGTTCTCAAACAACACTGGTTCCATTGTGAACTGTGCATTGTGATTGTGCAAACAGAACAAAATGCTTCCATTAACTTTGTGTATCAAGTACTTGATAAATACTAAATTTTCGTAGATTACATTCTAAATTAGACTCTTCGAATTGTCAAGTACAATGTATAAAATTGCGTTGATGCAAACAGATAGGTGGAGGGCGACAATTTACACAATAATCTTGTAACATCTGCGTACACGGTACACAATATATATATATATATTAATTTCCATAGTCGTGAATGTGACTGATAATCCGAGTCTTGAACTTTATCATTCAATTCGTTTCAAATGTATTTAATCCTTCAAATATCCATGTAGTTAGTTTCCAGCAGTCTTGAATTTGTCCATATCATAATTTAAGCAAAAATTTACATGTAAATATCTGATTTCTACCATAATTTAATACCAGTTTATAATAATTGCCACTCTTCGCGCCAGCCATTGTTTATTGTTAACCCGCATTTCCTTCCCACCCGCAACATTCCTTTAGAGCAAAAGAGCCAATCACAATCAACTGCTCAACAGCCTGAACCAGGGCCACTGTGAGGGCCGCCCGAGCTTGGGCCTGGGGACGAGGATGGTATATTCCGGAAAATGTCATGATATTCCGTGACATTCCGCCATATTCCGTGATATTCCGCCATATTCCGTGATATTCCGGCATTCCGGGTTTTTACAACGCCCCAATCCAAAAGTACTGCGAGTGTGCTGCAAGGTACTTGTTCGTAAAACGTTTTAATGATTACGAATGTTCTCTGTCCAGTGGTTAATTGAATTAATCATGTTCAATGCAATAATGGACATTCTTATGGTCTCACTAAGACGAAGATTGACGAGTTGAGCTTATTTTAGATAATTTAACATTCAATTTTATTCCCTCTTGGGAATTGTTTATGTTTCGTTTTCCATGCAATTCCCAACGGTGGAAGAATGTGATTTCGCCCGGCAATTTTTATTTGACGAGTATATGGCCATCTCTCATCGCTACGATTTAAAAAGAGTATCATTGAAAAGCTAAATAACTGTTCTTTTGTCCTGTGTAAAATTGAATTGTTTAGCCACGTTTATGATGCACGACAGCCTGTTGAATTTCCATAGCGTTTTTTTTTAGACACCATGTATATAGTAGACCCGTTGCAGTTGGTCTGTGCCTATATCTCACTCGCTAGCCAATTTTTCTCTCTGAATCCCATTTCCCAGAATTTTTTAGACCAAATCCCAGTCCCAAATGTGACTTAAAAGGATCTCCCACGGTTGGTATTTTTCTATGTGTTGACTTTAAAACACAATTCTGCGTAAGCTATAAGGGAGGGTGAGTGACACCACCCCCCCGAAAACGTCTTTTCGGCGGAATAACGGTTTTATCTGCAAATCGTTTAATAACGGTTATGAAATGACGGTTTTATCTGCAAATCAGCGAAAATATTTGAGTGGCTCAGATGAAAAAGTAATATTTTAAATATAGCAAAAATTTAGCTAAATTTACTAAAATTACGAGTTCAATGATCACAATATCGAAAGTTCTATTTTTGGTGACGTTAGTCGTAGGTATGTAATTTTGTTAATATTTGTATTATTTTAAATACTTTTTGAAGTTGGGAGAGTATAAATGGGTTACTTTTAAGTAAATGTTTGCTATAGCCTTCGCAATTTGCATGAAATATATCCCAGACAGGGTAGATTACTAATTTATAATAATGCTAACATCTCGCATTCATTCGTACATATTTGTGACAATTAGTTGCAAAATTTTCCTCCTCAAAACCTATGGCAACCATAATATATATATTTCGAAGTACATTCCCATGCCTTAGCCTAGATTGTGATATGTTGATTTGTTATATAGTGTTTTTGTATGGTTTTGTTCGACGAATTGTGCTAGCCACTGTAATGTTTTAATTGTTTGTTATGAATCAAAAAATTCCGATTTATATTCACTAATAGGCAGGCAGCTCCTTTCATGCATGAAATGTAGCTTTAGACTGTGTCACACTACGCCCAAGTGAAATAATGATAACAAGCTTTCATAACTGTTTTCACAGACTGTATTACTATACAATGTATATATGGTACACATACAGTATAAATTTCTATGCACCAAAGATTTTCCAATTTTATGTATGTGTGCCTTGGTGGAAAGCACCAACAAGCTGCCACGGGAGAATTGCTGCAATAACGGAATTTTAGCAGTTATTAGTATTATAAAATAATATGCACAGGAGATCTCCGGCTATAGCGGCCTACTTTCCAGTGTGGTATGTGTTTGTCTCGATCATCTTCATAACTGTATAAATTGTTCATCTGCATTACATGTATGACGACAGTAGAAAACTTCAGCGGAGGTTCATTTACAATGATATAAGTGAACAATCAATGCAACATCACATTTCAAATGGTTATAATTTCGTTGTAATTATTAATTAACCCAATCTCCCCTTCACAAGTAAAATTGTGTTGCCTTATAGACGAAGTGAAATACAGTCGAACCTGTATTGAGCGGTCACCCTCGGGGATTTCGCAAGTGACCGCTTAATACAGGTTGACCGCTTAATACAGGTCTTGTAGAAAATCACCACACGACTTAAATATAACATTTAATATAACTAAATTTGAACAAAACAGTAATATATTTTAATACACATACCAAGTAACCAATTAAAAAGTATATAAAACTGCAAATTGTTTCTGAGTTTAAACTGCAAAAATTGTTTCTGAGTTGAGACTACATGTACTACTACTGTACAATAAACTGTCAGAGCTTAAACCGCTGAAAAATAGTCATGAATTTTTGTTTGTTGTTGCGGACTGCTCAGTTTAATGTGACTCAACAAGTCATTCACCTTTGACATAGAAAGCGAAAGCTCTTGGTGTCCGTTAAATTGAGCAAATTTTCGCAATTCATCACCGGATTCCATCGCTTCTCGTACTGTTTTTTAATATGACATCGTCAGAAAAGCATATTTTCAAACCAGACAGCGTCTGGCCAAACATGAAATAAGGAAGTGTCGTGAAATTTGACACGCGATTTGGGCAATCTACCAGCTGATTCATTTTTATAAAAACACTACCGACATTCTGGTTATAAAGTATAGTATAAACGTGCATGCTGCAGAATCTGAGACTAAAGTAAATTACACTGAAAGGAATTGAGCAACACTTCAAGTTAGTCCATTTATTCGGGGATATCATGCGTACATGGACGACTGGGAACCAAAACTCGATGAGGAATATTCACTTAAGCGCAGTTGGACAGGCATAGTACAAAACATGGACTGGACCCATAGACTGGACCCAAAATTGGACTCAAAATTGGACTCAAAATTGGACCCAAAATTGGACTCAAAATTGGACCCAAAATTTTGCCCAAAAATCCATTATTTTTTTCGGAGAGAAACAACCCTCAGAATATCGTGCTTTGATTTAATTTGTATATAGGCAAAAAAACTTCACGTTCCATCACTTTTCCTTGACCTATCTAGCTATTTGTTTTCCAAAATTCTATATTTTCTAAACGCTATCTAGGGTACCACGTAAATAATAAACCTTTGTGAAATATCTTTGCGCAATGGTCACAAATACATCACGCGTCGATATAAATCATTCCATCAATATATACATGTTAATACATCAATACTATATAGTCATTCTAATTATATACATTTTGTGTCTGTATATAAATATACACCCTCTATATATTCCGGCATATATATCCTCTAACGAGTAACGAGTTCGCAAAGTTTGTTTTGTCCAATTCTAATATTTATCGCAACTAGCTATATGTGGGCTTGTCATTATGCACATATTGTATTTCAGAACCATCCTCAGAGATACGAAAAACTAGTTTCATATTAATCTGACACTGCAATCGAGCAACGAAAAATAAAATATATATAAAATAACTATATATTGATGTATATATTGATGGAATGATTTATATCGATGTGATGTATTTGTGACCATTGCGCAAAGATATTTCACTTTATTATTTACGAGTACCCTAGATAACGTTTAGAAAATAGAATATAGAATTTTGGAAGACAAATAGCTAGATAGGTCAAGGAAAAGTGATGGAACGTGAAGTTTTCTGCCTATACAAATTAAATAAAAGCACGATATTCTGAGGGTTGTTTCTCTTCGATAAAATAATGAATTTTTGGGCAAAATTTTGGCTAAAATTTTGAGTCCAATTTTGGGTCCAATTTTGAGTCCAATTTTGAGTCCAATTTTGGGTCCAAAAATTTAAATTGCGTGAATAATACGTCCACACGGACTGAAAAGACTGTTGACACTTTCAGTGATTACGGAAGTTCGAGTAATGAGATAAACACAACTTAAAACTTTGACATTTTGCCGAATAAAGATTTAATTATAATAATATATTGTATTATGTTTCATGTTTGCTGTAGTTACTTTCCACTGACCGTTTAATACAGTTTCAAAACAATGAAAAATTAAGTTTGGGACCGTGGAAAGGGTGACCGCGTCCGCTTAATAGAGGTGACCGTTCAATAAAGGTCACTTAACTAGTATTTATATTATGAAATTTTCGGGACTTTGCCACATGACCGCTTAACAAAGGGTGACCGCTTAATACGGTGCCGCTTAATCAAGGGTGGGTTGACTACAAAATTGTCGTAGTTCGCTACAGCTACTTCAAAAATATGTAGTCAGCTACAACTACTGCTACTTTTGAACAAAGGTAGTTCGCTACTGACTACAGCTACTGCTTAAAAAATGTAGCGAACTATTTCGCTATTTCGCTACGCTATATTTTTTAGTTTTACTGTATTTGGAGCATCTATACTAACTCAGACTGTAATGTAACCTATAACAAATCGACTTACGAGTAGCAACAGTAAACACAAAGCAACATTTTTGTCATCACTACAGTGTTCAGGAATGCAAATTAAATTGACTATTGAGTATCGATTTTAAGCAAACCGTGTCTCAATATCATGCTATTCTATCAAGTTGTTAACAATTTTTAAAAGTAGCGAATAGCGATTTGCTGTTTGAAAACTAGTCAACTACTTGGCTACTTTTAGGCAAAATGTAGTTCGCTATAACTACAGCTACTGTTTTAAAAATGTAGTCAAAAACTACTGGCTACTTGAAAATTGTAGTTCGCTACAGTAGCGAACTACAACTACTTCCCTACTACCCACCCTTGCGCTTAATACAGGTTCGACTGTAGTAAATTAGGGCATATTAGGGCACATTACCACTTAAAGGGCTAACATCTATTTTATTATTTGCTAAAATGCATGTAATTGTAATTATAATAAGTATCAACCAATCACATGCATTGTAATGTTGTATTATAATAGTACTTGCTATTTTGTTTATGCTATCAACTTTTAGTATCTTAACCCACTGAGTGGCAGCACTCTCCCCCTGACGAGTAAAATTGTCTGGTGTTAGACAGAGTAAAATAACATTTAAGTAGGGGCGCATTTGGGCGCATAGCCAACAAGGGGGAATTTCGTTCTCGACCAATCAGTGCTTTTGTTTACATTTTTGCCCTAAGCCAATCAGAATGCGTAAAACGCTTCATCACATGAAATTTGTAAACAAAAATATGGGGTTACTTCAGAGCTTTTCTGCAAGCGTTTTTTTGTTTTTTGCCATGAAATTCATATATGTTGTTCTTAAAAGAATTCTCCTCAACTTCCTCGTGGCGATTTTTGATTAATTGCGTGATTGCGAAGATATGGGTCTTCAAACTTTGCGTTGCGCAGGCTTAAATACCACACCTCGAATTTGTAGGTTCCGAACGGATTAGTTTTTAAAAGCCTTTCAAATCGAGGTTTGAGAGGTTTTATTTTTTAAAAGATACTTTTATCTTCATATTTTCACATTAACTTATTAATATCCTGTGTAACAA